GGCTGGGGGAATCTGAGGGGGGGAGGGGTATAAAGAACCAGGTTGGAGATGCCCGTAACAGAGGGGGAAACATCCTGATTTATATCTCTGTGAAATCATAGTTAAGTAATCAGATTCTGTTATGAACCATTCAATTATGTTTATAATTGAGTCTTAGAATATGTATCACACTTTATTTATGAGTATGCTTATGACCCGTGTAAGTATGTTTATGTATTTCGAGTGAGTTCATGATGCATTGTAAGTATGTTCATAATGCATCTCTAAGCGCGACTGCAACCCATTTGTTATGTTTTGAGTGACTCGTGTTTTTAATGCGTTACAGAGATGAGCGTCAGGAAGCTACCTTTAAACCTTTCTATTGACCTCCGTTTGAACCCAGCTCCCCCTCCCCTCTAACACCATAACAATGTGCATCTCCTCACCGAGCACTTTGACCACGATGGTGTAGCTCTTGGAGCCGCTGCTGTTCTCCAGAGTCAGGATGTACTTCCCGGCGTCGTATCTGTTCACGTCCTCGATCATCAGCAGCGTGTCCCACTCCGACGTCTTGATCAGAACCTCCCGGTCCTTCAGGTTGGCGTCCGCCTTGGACCACGTCACTTTGGGTGCCGGGCGGCCCCTCAGAGGGACGTAGACCCTCATGGTGACCCCCGCCCTCAGGACCAGAGCCTTCCTCAGGTCAGCATCCAGCTCCGCCTCAGGGGCGACTGCAGGGGGGGAGGGGGTTAATGCAAGGGTCAAACATCTCTCAAAACTCACTTATTCACTGTAGCTTTCAAACTCTGATCAGCACCCCCCCACCCACACACTGCACTTGCACAAGGACTACTGTTTATGTTTTTTGTTTTCTTTGTACTGTTTCTGACTGTTTGAAAAGCGCTATCAAAATCGAATGCATTATTATTATTATTATTAAAGAGACAGCTACAGCTTCAGAGGTGGGACAAGTACTCAGATCTGGTACTTTAGTAAAAGTAGAAGTACTCAGATATTGTACCATGTACCTCTGAACTGTAGTGGAGTAGAACTACACAGTAACATAACATTGAAATACTCAAGTAAAGTACCTCAAACTTGTACTTAAGTACAGTACTTGAGTAAACGTACTTAGTTACTTCCCACCTCTGTATAGCTTCCAGTGGAGACAGAACACTTATCTGAATATCTAAAACTAACAATGGTGTAAAAACAGTAATGATGTGTAATTACTCAGGATGTCTTTGGGCGTGTGGTTCCCGGGGACCTCGCTGGGCTCGCTGAAGCCGATCTTGTTGACAGCGATGACCCTGAACTGGTACTCTGCGTCGTCCATCAGTCCGGTCGCCAGGAAGCGCGTCTCCTGCAGCTTCTTGGGGATGTTGCACTTGTTCCAGTGTTCTCCGTCCACACGCTTACACTCCACCAGGTAGCCGATGATCTCGCAGCCGCCATCGTACGCCGGCTTGGTCCAGCTGAGGCTGATGGAGGAGCGGGTCGAGTCCACCACCTTCGGGAAGGCAGGAGGACCAGGGGGGTCTGCAGGAATAAAGGGTCATATTAGGCATTATTCTCATAGTTCATAGGGAAAGAAATTGCACCTTTTAAACGTCAAAGTGGGATTTGTATTTGCTTAAAGGTCGCCTATGATACTATTGTTAGGCATATATTATAGGTCTCAGACCTAAAACATGTCTCTGAAGTGTTTTGCTCAAAATACCAAACAGATCATGTATTCTAGCCTCATCCGCCTGTTACTAAAGTGCTGAGATTATTTTGAAAAAGAGGAGGGGGAGCTAATGCCTGCTCAGAATTAGTTTTTTAGAGATTTGGGTATGGAGGAAAAGAGAGAGGGTTTTGTTTTCTGACACTTTGTGAGTCTCCTGACACCGGGGACACATGTTTCTGTATAAAAGACATCAAAAAGTGCATTTAGCATGATAGGAGACCTTTAATGAACATGTCCCACCCTATAAATTGTAATCTAAGCACATCGGATTATCTCTCTAAAGCGGTAACTCACAGACGGGGTCTACGGCCAGCGCGGCCCTGGAGGCGTCGCTGGGTTTCCCCAGCCCCGCCTTGTTGAGAGCGATGACCCTGAACTCGTACTCGGACCCTTCGCTCAGCTGCACCGCCTTGATGGAGCGGTCGATGACGGGTCGTCGGTTGACCTTGACCCAGGCCAGCTCCGTGGCCTCGCGCCTCTCCACCATGTAGCCCAGGATGGAGGCGCGGCCGTCGTTTGCCGGCGCCTTCCAGCTCACCGTCATGGAGTCCTTGGTGATGTTGGTGATGACGGGCGGCTCGCAGGGCCCAGGGACGTCTGAGGGAGGAGATATGATTAGATATGATCAATAACAGAGGTTAATACTGACCTAGAATTGGGAGGGATGAAACCCTCTGTAATGGTCACACATGCAGAGCACACTGCACACAGTGAAACGTGTTCCCTGCATCTAACCCATCCTAGCACCAGGAGTCTAGTTCCAGGACTCTAGCACCAGGAGTCTAGAACCAGGAGTCTAGCACAAGGAGTCTAGAACCAGGAGACTAGCACCAGGACTCTAGCACCAGGAGTCTAGAACCAGGAGTCTAGCACAAGGAGTCTAGCACCAGGAGTCTAGAACCAGGAGTCTAGAGCCAGGAGTCTAGCACAAGGAGTCTAGTTCCAGGACTCTAGCACCAGGAGTCTAGAACCAGGAGTCTAGCACCAGGAGTCTAGCACCAGGAGTCTAGCACCAGGAGTCTAGCACCAGGAGTCTAGAACCAGGAGTCTAGAACCAGGAGTCTAGAGCCAGGAGTCTAGCACCAGGACTCTAGCACCAGGAGTCTAGAACCCGGAGTCTAGTACCAGGAGTCTAGTACCAGGAGTCTAGCACCAGGAGTCTAGAACCAGGAGTCTAGTACCAGGAGTCTAGTACCAGGAGTCTAGCACCAGGAGTCTAGTACCAGGACTCTAGCACCAGGAGTCTAGAACCCGGAGTCTAGTACCAGGAGTCTAGCACCAGGAGTCTAGTACCAGGAGTCTAGAACCAGGAGTCTAGTACCAGGAGTCTAGAACCAGGAGCAGTGGGCAGCTATTGCACAGCACCCGGGGAGCAATGGGAGTGGGGGGGAAGGGTGGCGGCCGGTGCCTTGCTCAAGGGAACAACGGCAGGGCAGGAGGTGAACTGGGACCTCTCCAAGTAGCAGTCCACACTCCATATTTCGGTCTGTTCGGGGTCTTGAACCGGCTACATATACTTCATATATTTATACAAACAACAGATATATGATTAAATATGCTCAATAAGGATAATACTGTCAGTTTGACCCGCACTGCACTCACTGATCTTTACTGCCGTTTGAACAATTCTGACTTTTTCTAAAAGAAAAACCTTTTTACATTTTTTTTTTTACTTTCCTCAAATTCTGACTTCTTTAAAAAACAATATATTCTTTTCTCAAATTCAAACTTTTTTCTCAAATTTCATTTTTGTTGATAGAAGCACTTAATTCTCTGTTCCTGAAACACTACCATATGGGTTCTTCACCATGACGGGGGTTATGAATGACTTTAACCTGAAATACATTCTGACATTTCTCAAAATGTTGACTTTTCTCAGATTCTGACTTTTTTCTAAACATTTTTTTTGACTTTTTACAAAATTCAGACTTTTTTCTCAATTTTGTTTTTGTTGATAAAAGCACAAATGTCTGAAGTAGACCCGGTCCTTACCGTAGGGGTTCTTCACCATGACGGGGTCGGTCATGATGGCGTCTCCCACCCCGTACTGGTTCTCCGCGCTGACCCTGAACTCGTACTCGTGGCCCTCGATGAGTTTCTCCACCAGAGTGTCCGTGTTGTGTCCGTGGATGTTGGAGCTCACCAGAGCCCAGTTGGCTCTGCTGGTCTCTCTCTTCTCGATGATGTAGTTTGTGATCTCTGATCCTCCGTCAGCGATGGGGGGTTCCCAGCGCAGCTTCACACGGTCACAGAACACCTTGGCGATCTTCACCGAGGCGGGGGGGCCGGGTTTATCTGCAGGGGGGGAGGAACTTTGTTAATCCTTTTTCTCAAAATGTTGACTTCTTTTTCAAAATGTCAAATATTCTGACTTTTCCTAAAAACAAAACTTTTTTCCCCAAACATTCTGACTTTTGTCAAAATTCTGACTTTTCTCTTAACATTTAGAATTTTTCTCAAAATGCTGACTTTTCTTAAATTCTGACTTCTATAAACATTTGGACTTTTCAAAAATGTCCAACTGGCGGGGCGGCCGGGTTTATCTGAGCCTCGTTAATCCTCTTAAATCTCTCACATTATTCCCTCTGCTCTCCTCTGGGAGGCGCTACAGGTCAACACTGCTACTGCTCAAAGACCCCATCTCTCATATATTCCCTACCACACATCTCCTGTCCTCTAGGAGGCGCTACAGGAAACTCTCTACCCTCAGCTATCTCCTGTCTGAACCCTGAACAACACATTTCAGACTTGATCTGACCATTAAAGTATTATCCTATCGTATCCTATCATATCATATACCCAGTGATTGACTTTTCTCTTACTGTTTTGCACTTTCTGGTTACATTACATGTCACTTGTTGGAGGCTTTTATCCACTGCGCCACACGCCTCCAATGGTTAGATGCTAACTGCATTCCGTTGTTTTAGTACTAGCAATGACAAGGAGCTCAAATCTCATCTATTCCAAACTTATCCTGTAAAAGACCCCTCTGAAGACCTCTTGACTCACCGAGCACCTTGACCTTGATGGTGGCGTACTTGGACCCGCTGGTGTTCTCTGCGTGGATGCTGTAGTCACCGGACTCTTTCCTGGTGACGCAGAACAGGTCCAGCATGTAGTGGTGCTTCTTCTGGCTCAGCTTCATGCCCTCCACGTGCACCACAGCGCTGTCCTTCATCCAGGTCACTTTGGGCATCGGTTTGCCGAACACCTCGGCGTCCATGGACACGTTCTCTCCGGCCTTCACCACGATCAGGTTCTTCATATTCAGACCCAGGTCCACGCGGGGGGGGACTGCACCGAGAGGAGGGGGAATGGTTCTTTATTAAGTACTCAGACTTTTAACTTAAACAAAAGTAGCAAAAATGCATTTAAAATACTCTGTTACAAGTAAAAGTCCTGCATTCAAAGTCTTTCCGAAGTCTGATTTTTCAAAATAAAAGCCCCATAGAGTAACTGTACGGGGAGCACAGGAAGAGTCTGTGTTTTCCTGATATAAAGTAAGATGTGAAGCATGAGGCATTTCAATTCAAATAAAAAACCTACAAAAAATCACTTTATCCTTACAGGAAGCGAAGGCCAGGCTTGTTTTTCAAAATAAAAGCACCATAGAGTAATTGCATACTTACTAAAAACTTAAGATGAGATTTGTTTTTCAAAATAAAACTCCCCATGTAGTAACTTTATGCTTTAAGGAAGCTTATGACGAGAAAGGGTCTGGTCTCTCCATTAAGGAAAACTGTTAATATGATGATAATAATAATAATAATAATAATAATTCATATAATCGAAAACTGAATGCTCAGAGTTCGTACCGTGCTCTGACCAATCAGTTTCCCGTAAGGGGCCGGTCTTCCCTTTAAGGATAAGTGTTAATGAATGATAGTTGGTAGAGTTCGTACCGTGCTCTGCGATGACGGGGATCTTGTCCGACAGCTCGGAGGGCAGGCTGGTGTTGATGGCGGTCCTGGCGATGACCCTGAACTGGTACTGCTGGCCCTCCTCCAGCCCGCTCACCGTGTAGCTCTCTGATTGGATGTTCATGCAGTTGGCGTTGCAGCGCGTCCACTTCTCCTCCGGCAGCTTCATGTACTCCATGTAGTATCCGATCAGCTTGCTGCCGCCGTCGTTCGTCGGGCGGCTCCACACCAGAGACACCGAGTGCTTCGTCACGTCCATCACCTCGGGCTTACCGGGGGGTTCTGTGTGGGGGGGGGGACACGGTTAGTTAGTCTGAACAGTGAAGAAGGTCGGTGTAAAAGTACAAATGTAAAGAAAAACACTCTACATTTTATATTTAATTAAATATTCCCTTCCATGCACACTTGATGGAAATAATATCCTGCTTATATCGTGTTAACAGAAAACTGGCCTTTCAATAGTGTTTTCTTTATTTTCTTACTCCTTCCACTGACACGGAAACCCCAACTCTACTCTCCACATTTGAATGCGTGGAAATGTCTCTGGCCCAGAGATTCTACCTGGTATTACTCTCTTAAGGAAGTGGTAGAGAAAAATAACTAAACTAAACAAGTAGTGTCTCAAAAATATATATATATTTTTTCCACTTTTTTAGAATAAGCGTCTTTTCCCCAGCATTGAAACAATGCCGGGGAATGCTCCTCTGGGTCTCTAGCTTGAAAGAAAGATGAAGTGTGAGTGTCTCGTACCGATGGCGGTCCTGGCGATGATGATGTCGGTCTGCTTGCAGGGTTTCCCCTGTCCGGCCATGTTGAGCGCAGCCACCCTGAAGATGTACTCCACGCCCTCCATCAGCCCGGTGCACGTGTACTGCGTGGACTTCACCAACGACTCGTTGGCCCTCATCCACAGCAGGCTGTTACGCTCCTTCTTCTCGATGACGAATCCTGTCAGAGGGGAGCCTCCATCGCTGCTGGGGCGCTCCCAGGACAGGATGACGTAGTCCTTGTTGATCCTGTTGATCTGCAGATTCAGGGGCTCGCTGGGGGGGTCTGTGGGGGGGGGGAGTTAACAGTTAGAGCTGTAAAACTGCAAATTTTTAATTCACTCAGACTCACTTCTGAGTTTCAGGACATAAATGCTGACTCATATCACAGTTTTACAGTTCATAATGCAGACTGAATTCAGGGTTTTAGGGCTGATAATGCTGAAATGTGTTTTGCTTTAAGACTCGTAATGCTGACTCGTTATTCCTGCAGTTCCCTACAAAGCTTTATAAACATTGTCCCGGACTCACCGAACGGACACCTGGCGATCATCTTCTCGGAGTAGATGGGCGCTGAGACGCCGAACCTGTTCTCTGCGCGGACCCTGAAGCCGTACTCTTTGCCCAGACACAGCTTGAGGACCTTGAAGCTGGTCTTGGTGCAGGAGGAGGTGAGCATGGTCCAGTCTCCCTGGCTCACGTCACACTTCTCCACGATGTAGTTGGTGATGTTGCTGCCTCCGTCCTCCTGGGGCGACCCCCAAAGCAGGGTGCATCCTTCCACATCCACCTCCGTCACCTCCAGGGGGGCCTCCGGGGGCCCGGGGATATCTGCAGGGACAGGGAGAAGCGGTAATGTACGAGTTATGAATTACCTGAAATACATTCTGACTTTTTGCCCATTTTTTTAATGGCCGCCAACTTTTTTCTCAAAAATCTCAAAATGTTGAGTTTTAACTTTTTCTCCAAATTCAGATTTTTTTTTTCAAAATGTCTGACTTTTTCAACATTTTTTTTTGACTTTTTATAAAAAGAAATTGCCTTTTTTTTTTTTTTTTTTCTCAACACAGATTTTTCTCGAAGATCTGTATTTTTTCTTCCAAAATTTAGATTTTTGGAATAAAAATCTGACTTTTTTCATTTTCGTTTTCTGAATTTTCTCAAATATACTCCCTTTTTGAAGCCGCTTTCCCTTTGACACAGTGTGTTATTCCTGAATATTCCCAGTGATATTCCCATATTAGGACTGGTGTTACTGACCCATGACGGTGACCTTGATGATCTGGTTGACCCTTCCGCTGCTGTTCTCTGCGGACAGGCTGTAGTAGCCGCTGTCCTCCCGCTTCACGTTCTTGGTGATGAGGGTGCAGCTGGTGAGCGTCTTCACCACGGACAGGCGGTCGGAGGTTAGCACGTCCTCGTTGCCCTGCTTCCACTTGCAGAAGGGAGCGGGCTTCCCGGCCACGATGGCCTCCAGAACCATCTTAGATCCGGCTCGCACCGACACGATGTCCGGAGTCATGACCTTCGGAGCCACTGCAGGGAGAGGAAGGACAACAGTTACTCAAAGGTCCCTCAAGAAAACTAAATATATGACTGACTATGTTCAATAAGAAGCTTTATTTTCATCAGCATATGAGACAATGAGAGAAGAGGGAACAGGAAGGGCTAACTCTTGTATTAAGTATTAGGATTCATAATGCCAACTTTTTCTGGGTTTTAAGACTCACACTGCCGACTCATGGCAGGGTTTCAGGACTCACATTGCTGACTCACCTCGGGGTCTTTAAGACTCATATTGCTGACTCATCTCGGGGTCTTTAAGACTCATATTGCTGACTCATCTCGGGGTCTTTAAGACTCACATTGCTGACTCACCTCGGGGTCTTTAAGACTCATATTGCTGACTCATCTCTGGGTCTTTAAGACTCATATTGCTGACTCACGTCGGGGTCTTTAAGACTCACATTGCTGACTCACCTCGGGGTCTTTAAGACTCATATTGCTGACTCATCTCTGGGTCTTTAAGACTCATAATGCTGTCTCATCTCCAGGTTTCTCTACAGTCTGAGGTGTGTGTTGTACTCACTGAGCTGCTCTTTGACCTCGAAGATCCCTTCGGCCTCGCGGGCCAGACTGACCCCCACTGAGTTCCTGGCAGCGACCCTGAACTTGTACTTGGTGTTCTCCTTCAGGCCCACCACCACGATGCTCATGTCTTTCACCACGGAGTACGGCGTCCACTTGTCCTCTGCGGCGCCCTCCGCCTGGTAGTCCACTACGTAGCCGTTGATCTTGGCCCCGCCGTCTCTGAGCGGCTTCAGCCAGCCCAGCGTGGCGCTGTTCTTCGTGATGTCCAACACGTCCATCTTCTTCGGGGGGTCTGGCTCACCTGGAGGGGAGGGGAGTGCGGAGGTTAGGTAAGATAAAGGAAAGAACACAGAGGGAGAGGAACACAGCAGCTTTTAGTTTACCTGGGGGCAAACATTTAAAAATAAACTAGAAAACGTTCCCTATATGTACGACGTATGGATATACATATCTACACATTAGATTAAAGTCTTCTCATTCACAGAAACAATGATAATAATTAAAGTCTTATTTTCCTGTGCATGTCTCAGAATGATAAAGTTTTCTACTCACTGATGGGGTCGACGGCCAGGTAGGATTTGGGCGAGTCCTGCGGGACTCCGATGCCGTACTGGTTGCAGGCGGTGACTCTGAAGTAGTACTCGATGCCGGGCGTCATGTTGGACACCTTGAAGCTGGTCTTCCTCAGGTCCTCGATGCACTTGTTCCATGTCTTCCGGTCCACCTCGCGCTTCTCCACGATGTAGTTCAGGATCTGGCTTCCGCCGTCGTTATCGGGCGGCAGCCATGACAGCTGCGCGCTCGTCTTTGTGATGTTCGTTGCCTCCAGGCCGCCAACAGGGCCGGGGGTGTCTGCGAGGGGGGATTCAAATATGCTTTGATCAGACAGGTTTTCTTTTAAAGAGATGTACAAAAATCTCATTATGTAATAACACCTCTTTTTGTAATATGTTCAAAATGTTGTACGTAACAGCTTTTAAAAGTTCCCGAATTTTTTGGACGTTTTTATTACATTTCTATATTCCTAAAAATAAGTTCAGATGAAGACGTCCATTTTCCTTGGTGTTTACTAAATGCATATACTATAAAATATTAGAACATTGTGGGACAGTTTCATGAATACAGCAATCAAACTGTCTAAAACTAAACATGGGTGTTATAGCATGATAAAGTAAAATGTTGGTTGTGGATAAATGTGTTGTTATGTTTCTCACCGAGGACTTTGACGCGGACGTACACGGCCTTCTCTCCGGCCGAGTTGGACAGAGTCAGCGAGTATCTCCCAGAATCCTCTCTGGTGCTTTCGGGGATGACAAGGAAGGACATGCTGTCCACCTGGTCCACATGTCCACGGCGGATCACGTTGTCCACGCCGAGGCGTTTCCACGTGACCTTAGGCGAGGGTCGTCCTCTGACGACGGCGAAGAGCCTGATGGGGCAGCCGGCCCTCACAGACAGACCCTTCCTCAGACTGGCATCCAGGTCGATCTCTGGAGCCTCTGCAGCAGGAAACACAGGAGAGAGGTTACCAGGATGTGAGATCATAAACAGACAGTGTTTCCCTTAATGTCTACCCCTGAAACATCAAAGTGCTCTATGCTGAAGTTGCAAAAACACCATGCTTTGTTTCCCAGTTTCACTGACAATGCCCAAATAAGGCTGTCTGCAGTGATACAGTTAACTACATAGAGTTAAATCGACCAAAAAATCATCAAAATCAGCACACAGAGAGTACAAATATGGCCACTTTCTGGTTAAAACTGCCATTTCTGATGCTGAACATTTCAGAAATGGATTCAGCGTCCTCAATAACCCCAGACACCACTCTAAAACTGTCCAAACCGGAGTTAACCCTTAACTATTGTCTGCATATGCTAATGAATGCTAATTGTGCAAATTACCCAACATGCAGGTTAGCATCCGGCAGTTTCTATGTTTCTACTATTCATTTTGGCAAATTGGGGTCCTCAACATTTCCCGGTTCACAACAGGACTCTATGAGCTGGAAACAGACTTTTATCGTATTGAATGTCAGTTCCTACCAATGATCTCCTTGGGGGACACGGATTCCTTAAGGTAGGCGTGGCGTCCCCAGCCCATCTGGTTCTGGGCGGACACCTTGAAGTCGTACTCTAGCTTCTCGTCCAGCTGTCCGATGGTGAACTCTGTGAGCACCAGCGGGCCGTTGGTGTCGATCCTCTTCCAGCCCACCGAGGGGTTCTCGGGGTCCACATCGGTCTTCAGCCTGAGGTCCAGGCTGTAGTTGATGATGGGAGCACCACCGTCGTACACTGGTTTGGACCAGGTCAGGGTGATGGAGTTCTTTGTGCTGTCACCCACCTTCAGGAAAGCAGGGGGACCTGGGGGCTCTGCAGGAAAACACAGAAACACAGATTTGCATAGCTATATCTACACTATAGCTACAATGCATATGATGATAAAGCCTTTGAGTCTTTGATTCATCTCAAAGAACCCCAGACTTACCCATGGGATCTTTGGCTCCGACGGGTCTGCAGGCCTTGCTGGGTTCTCCCAGGCCCACCTCGTTCTCTGCCTTCACCCTGAACTGGTACTCGTGGTTGGGGATCAGGTTGGTGACCTTCATGCGTCTCTCAGAGATGGGGCTCTTGGTGCATGGCACCCAGCGGACGGCTCTCTTCTCCTTCCTCTCCAGGATGTAGCCGGTGATGGACTTTCCTCCGTCGTTCTCGGGGGGAGCCCAGACAACGGTCATCTCTTCTTTACTGACCTGGATCACGGAGGTGTGGAGAGTGTGAGTAACAGCAGTACAAAAAGTTAGCTCAAGTAATGAAAACGCTGTCCAAATAGTTATCTTAAAGTTATAGAATAATAATAACTGGTGTCCACCTAATACTGTGGAAGCAGAAACCAGGATAAAATGTAGCTAAAAAAAAGGTACAGCACAGGAAGTGTTTGCGTACCTTGGTGACGTCGGGGGCTTCTGGGGGCCCAGGTTTGTTGAACTGAGTCTTGACGGTGACAGGCTTGCTCTCCATGGCGGGGCCAGTGCCCATCTTGTTCTCTGCCTTCACTCTAAAGATGTACTCGTTACCCTCCACCAGACGGATCACGTTGCAGTATGGTGTGACCACCGAGGCGGAGTACGTGGACCAAACCATCCTCCTGGTCTCGCATTTCTCCAGGATGTAGCTGTCCACCTCGCAGCCTCCCTCGTCCTCCGGAGGGTCCCACACCACTCTGCACTTGTCGGCCCCGATGCCGATGACCCTGAGGTTCCTCACTGGGCCCGGGACGTCCAGGACGTTGATGTTAGCGTACGCCGTGAAGGTGCCGGCCACGTTGGTGGCGGTGATGATGATCTTTCCGGTGTCCGTGCGTCTGGACTTGGTGAGAAGGAACTTGGAATATTCAGGTCCGGTCTCGTAGCTGATTCTGGGGTTGTCCCCAACGGCCTTTTCTTTGATCCATTTGACCTCCGGCGCGGGTTTTCCTCTCAGGCCGGCCTCTATCCTCACAGATTCTCCGACCTTCACCGTCAGAACTCCGGCCAACTTCAGGTCGATGACGGGCTTCAGGATCTCCTCCTTTACCAGAATATCAGCGAGTTTCACCCAAGCACTTTCACCTCCTTCATTGATGGTCTGCACCCTGAGAGACAAATGATAAGAATTATTAGTAAGTCATTTTCACTAGGTAGAAGGGGTGTAACGGTACACGTGTGTACCGAACGGATATAACGTTAAACATAAAGAATTGAGAACGTGAACAACTTCTTGGAAGTAATCTCAGGTAATTTGCTCACATTGGGTTCAACGCGTCATAGAGCGACCAAGTCATTTCATTGGACGAGAGGCATACTATGAGAGCTGGTCACAGGGATGCGTTCAAATGTAGTCAGTAATTTGAGGAACTGTCGAAATGGCGAACGCAGATAAAGTTGAGCTCGAAAATCCTCCAGCATCATTGAAGTCTCCGGTTTGGGAACATTTTGGTTTTGCAGTTACGTACAAGGATGACGGACAAAGTCA